GCCCAAGCAGCACACTCTCCAGTGCGCCACCAGGCCGGCCCGCAAACACTGTTCTATCCTCTCAGAAAACCTTTTCTCTGCTTTGCTGATCGTCATTTGTTGAAAGCAGTTAAAAGTCCACCTCCGCCATGAAGCCTCCTCTGACTACTCCAGTACTTGATAATCTTACCCTTCTTTAAATTTTATTNTTTAAATCATATCATAAAAACAATCATTTCAATGAAAACAAAGGTTAGCAGATCAGAAATATTCATTACTTCATCTGCTTTTTGGTTGTAGTTGTTGTTACTTTAAGGGTTAATTTAAGAATTACAATATCCACGGTTATTTAACACTTACTCTGTTTTAAACATTGTTTTAAGCAATTACATATATTGTTTCACTTAAGCCTCAAAAGAACTCAATACATTAGATTTTCTTATTATCCCCACTTTTCTGATGAGAAAACTGAGGCAGAAAGAGGTCAAATAACTAACATAAGGCCTTACACCTAATACTTGTTATAGCAGGAATTTAAACCCAAACAGAATTACTGCTAGCACTATTTCCAAAGAAATTTCATTAAACAAAAATAAAGGCATTTTTACAATGGTGAGTATACTTGTTATACCAAGATAAAACTTAGTTGCCCAAAATCAAAGCTAAAAATCACTGATCAAATCCTGAACAACACATGAGAGCAGACAAAAAACCCATTCTCGAGGCCACAAAATTGAAATGAGATGGTAACTACACAGAGAAATAAAAATAACTTGAAGCAAAGATCACAAACATCAATAAAAGAAATTCATGCAGTGGAGCAGCCAGTTAGTCAACCAAGGCTGCTGGACACAAGCACAAGTTCCCGATCACAGCCTCGCTCTAAACGACAGCAGTGCCCATGATGCAAGCATATTCCCTAATTCATCTTTCCTATTGTATCTGATTTGCACTGTGTAACTCACACTGGAAGAGGAATGCCTGCCATATTTCAGAAAGGCTGAGTTTGTTATGAAAGTAGGGTAGGAGCTTGAAGGAATTCAGTAGATTGAGGTCAACTGATTGGCATAGATATTACCTCTTACATGTAAAAAATAACTCAATGCCCCTTAGTTTATCCTGGCTTCCTTCCTTCTCCCCTTGAAGCTAATCCTTCCTACACTTGTCACCCCTTTCAACAAGTTGGCCCCTACGTGGTAGAATGGATCTCACCCAGGGAGCAGGATCCCATCCCACAGCAGCCACATTCCAGCCTTCCTTTCAGTATCTGAGAGCACCCCTCACATGAAACTTCAAGAAAGAAATGACCCCATAGGCTTTGTCTGGCTCATGTGCAAAGAGAAAAGGTGGCAGCTTCCACTCTCAGGAAAAGTAGTCAGAGACAAAGTCCCCGAAGCTCTTCCTTGGCAGCTCTGAAGGGAACATAGGAGGCAAATACTCTGCTTGACTGTTCCCCCTGCTCCTTTTGTAGGTTCATTCAGGGTTCTTGCCTAGGTGGACAAAATGCTGTGGGGCTCCATGACTCATGTGGAGGAACCTGGCCAAGGAAAAGTAGCCCCTGCAACGACAATACCTCTGAGCACCTTCTATGGGTGACAGACTAAGGGCTGTTTAAGCTGCTAACTAGACATACTTCCTTGAAGAAAGGAGGCAGAGGCTTCACCCCTCAGTGCTTTATTTTATTTTATTTTTTGACCGGTAAGGGGATCGCAACCTTCGGCTTGGTGTCGTTGGCACCGCGCTCAGCCAGTGAGCACACCGACCATCCCTATATAGGATCCGAACCTGCGGCCTTGGCACTACCAGCGCCACACTCTCCTGCGTGAGCCACGGGGCCAGCCCACCCCTCAGTGCTTTTAAAGACAGGCTCGTTGGTGACCCTTTTTCCCCAGCAGTTTTCTTCTTCCAGGTTACCTATCCCTGGTTGCCCTGCCTGTGGCTTCAGAAAACATACTCTATGAGCTGTGCTTCTCCCTGCAGCATTGTCCTGGGGGCTCAGATGTGAGGGCCAGGTTGAACCCCCCCAGAGCCCTGAGGCCATGGAACAGGGAGAGTGTCTATGGTTCAGGCTCTCTGGGGTAGGAGAGGAAGACATGCTGTTCAGATCCAAGTACACGGAGGACTGACTGGACCCTCAGGGTGACTGTTTCTAAACTGTAACAAGGGACTTTGTAATGAGAGTCCAACTGCGGGTAGAGGAGCTTACAAAGACTGTCCCCCAGGGAACAAAGACCATCTTAGTCCATTAGCACAAATTTATAGTAAATGAAAAGACTAACTATAAGAAAGGTTTGCAGAGGCTGCTTTTACTGATTTATTCACCATCACTAGAAACAGGTCCTCTGCACTGTTGCATGCAAATGGCTGATTAATGCAACAACAACAAAAATAAGTAAGCATGTGTTCTCTGTTTTTTTTTTTTTTCAAAACAAATCCCTCAATCTTATCTAAAAATCAACTGGCATTAGGGGTCATGTTCTAGTGGAGAAAGTCTTGATGAGATAGAAAACTCCCTCAAGATTTCCAAGTTGATTCAAGAGGTAATTGCCTGGAACTTAAACTTGTCCCTCAATACCTCCTCTCACCCAACTACTCTAGATCTTGAACAGTACAAAATCTAGAAGCTTGTCCATTGCAGGGGATCAAAAGCCTTCTTACAGCCCAACTCTAAGGGGCTCTGCTGCCTCCTGCCTGACCAGAGCTGGAAAACTAGAACTCGTCTCATGGTTTGGTCAATGCCCAAGCTTCTGAGTCCCATACATCCACATCTATGGAGAATACAGACACCGCCCATCAACCAGCAACTTCAGTAAAGGAAGAGCCAATTGCAGTGTCCCTTCTTTCCTGACCACCTCTGTGGCCCCTACTGCCCCTGCGCTCACCTGTCAATGGCGATGGCCAGCAGAGCATTGGTGGAGACGTAGAGAGAGACAGTGCGCAGGTAGTTGACAGAGGTGCACAGGACGTGGCCGTGCTCCCAAGAGAGCTGGCGCACCACATAGTAGTCCATCTCAAAAGGGCAGCAGACAATGGCCACCAGGAAGTCAGAGATGGCCAGGTTGGCGATGAGCAGGTTGGTGAGGTTGCGCAGCTTCTTATAGCGGGCCAGGGCAGCAATAAAGATAAAGTTTCCAATGCCACAGACCAGCATGATGCCCACCAGGGCCAGGCCAATGACAATCTTGGCAGCAAAGAAAGTCCGGGAATTGGTCACATCCTCATCTTCATCCAAAGACATATCATAGTCTCCATAGCTGAAGGTGAATGGGAAGGAGGAATCAGCTTGGGCTCCGTGGGGGTTGAGCATAGAAGGGAACTTGGTGAAGGTATTGGTGGCATTCTCCTCCATGACCTCCATGGTGACTTCCATCTGGCCAGGTGGTGCTGTCAGCAACACTGGTGGGAATTCCCAGGGGCGATGTTGGCAAGGCTGCTGTCTCCCATCTCTGCTGACACTTAGCTCTCTTAGTGAGTCAGTGTGTCCCTGCCAGCATCCTTGGAGAACAGTATCCAAGCTTCATTCTAAACCTTTGAAAGACATACAAACAGTTGGCTACACGTTGGAGTGAACCTGGCCCAATTTAAAATCAAACCTAAGCAGAGCCGTTAGCCACCTGCTCAGAGTGAACACAGGTAGATGGAGTGGAAATAAGGGAACCAGTGAGATGTACAAAAGAAAACCACATACTCACTCACTTAGGAAAGGCTGGATTGCGACATAGACCACCCGGCACTGACTCAGTTTATTTCTCTTCCACTAAAGACTCAGAAATGTTTCACTTTTCCTCTAGGACCAGAGTTGGGAGTGTGGGAAGGCTGAAGAGAACAGAAGTGACCTGCTCCAAACTCCATTCACTGCCCTGACTGCCTATTCTCTGTCTTTGTGAAAAAGTCCCCTTCTGTGGTAGCAGTAACTCCTTTCCAGTGACTTACGAGGATTTACTCTGAATGCCATCGAAGGGGGAGGACTCTGAGTCAACCCTGTCTACTCTCCAGAGCTGGTCTTCTTCTGGCCAAACAGGGCTCTAATCATGGAGCCCACCTAGCAACCACCGTCCCCTGGCCTCGCTGGGCTTCCTGTTCCCACATCAAAATCTGCTGGGACCCAAGAAGCCGGGCAAGATGTTCACCCAGGCCTATCCCCAGGCAGAGGCTTCAGGGTCGAAGGCACAGTCTATCACTGAGTGGGTTAGAAGGGGACCCTAGAACAAATCTTTCTGCGGCTGGTTGTGTGCCCTGAGGTAAATAGCTTAAACACTCAGGGTTTCAACAGCTTCCAGGCAGATCAATAATGTCTGTAAAGCACGGAGCTCCCTACAGCGGGAGGGTGTTACATCCTAGAACTGCAAGGAGTAACTATTGATGGTTAAGGCCTCCTCAGTCAGCTTCAGGGAAGGGACGGGAAGTCCTGCTGCCACCACCTCCATCACGCCACATAATGGGGCTGAGGAGGGGGCTGTCAGCCATATTGCTGGGGACAGAGAGGAAGCCAGAGTCCCCTATCATCTGCCGTCTCCCAGAGGTTGAAAACATCAGACCAGGAGCTGGGATGTAAGAGGATGGCTGAGGTCTGGAGAGCACTCTAAACGTCAGGAGAACAAAAAGTGAGAGAAGTATGGCAAACCTGAGGGTCCCCGAAAGGGAGACGCCCAGGAAAGCGTGCGCCCACACTCCACAAAGACAAGACATCTGGATGCTGTCTTTGGGGGCCAGGGTTAAAGTCCCTCTGCACGCCCACTGAGGCTCAGCCAGGTTGCCGTGTCCCTCTCCCAGCTCCTTCCTCTGAGCTCTCAGTTCTGTCCGTCTTGGCCCCTGCCCTCTGCCCTTGTCATGGGTGAGAAGCACAACCCGGGAGCTGAGAAGCCAGAGGCCACCAGGCTTGGACCCCAGACAGGTACAGGCTACAATTCCAGTGGGACAGGCCTCATTCCCTGCAGGTCCCTTGTGTCCCAGAGGCATGCCACTTCTGGAGGGGGACCCTACAAGCCTGCTACCCTAAAGGCTCAAAGTAAGGTTTTAAAAACAAAAAAAATAATAGAAACTTCTGGGGGGAGGGGAAGCTTTAGGGGATTAAGGATTTCGGGAGAAACTGTCCTGCGGTCTTTTCTCCTTGATTCTTACCTCCCGGGAGGAATCCCACTGCCACCCGGTGTCCTCGCGATCGCGGGAAGCCTCTTTGCAGCGCCTGATGGTAAGCGCTCTCCTGCCCCCAACTTTCTCCTGGGAGGCTGGGCGGCTATGCCTAAGGACCAAAGGAGGGCCTGGGACCCCTGAGGAAATGCACACGAGTCGAGTCCCTTGAAAAGCCCCCTCCCCACTCAAAAGCCCCTGCACCCTCCGGCCGCCGGTCCGCGTGGGGCCCTTGGAGCATCTCCCCTGGAGGGTGCGCTCAGTACCTGCAGCATCCCGGCCCCCAGCGGACGAGGTCCGGGGACAAGGGACGCTTCTCCCAGAGGTCCGCGCAGAGGACAGGTTCTCTCTCCCTCTCTCCTCTGCTTGGGGCTCTTTCCCGGCTCGGGCGGGAGTTGTGCTGGCGCCGCCGCGGCAGCTCCCAAGAGCGGCGGCTCTGCGCCGAGGCCAGCCCCGGCCCGGGCCCGCCCCGCACTCGCTGTTCCCGCCCCCGTGGCTGCGGGGCGCTCGGGCGTCGGACGAGGCGTGCTCAGGTCGGGTCTGCGGGGGTCTCGGGGTCGCCGGGGTCTCGGGGGCGCCGGGGTCTTGGCTGG